GTTGCCCAAAACCTGGTAAGAAAATACCATAATGTTGTTAAACAACATTATGTAATCGAAAACCTAATCCGTTTTAAGGTAAACTTGGTGAATCATATACTTACATGGATTTTTGAAGTGGTCTTTGGGTCAAGGAAAGATTTAACTGTGCCCCATAAGAGCCTAAATCCAGAGCCAGCATTGATAATAAACATCCTGTTCAGGGTCTGCGGACATTATCAAAAGCATTCGATTCAATTAGTTTCACCATGCTAGAAATGGACCAAGAATCTCCGGGCACATTTGATCTAATAGAGCAACGAATACCTCGGGGTAATTATCACCGTCGATCTTCTGAAGTCGTTGTAGGAGCTCCCTTGCAGTCTTGTTGAAGCTTTTAAGACCCTGAAAGTTCATTTATGATGCGGGTATTAGAGCTGCAACGAAGCAAGATTTGGACCAGTAAACGGAAAAGAAACGCAGTAACAATATCACATACCACTCCTTCAACATCCAATATGGTGGTGCTTTGATCAATGTATTTTTTTGCTACAATTGATGCAGCAGGAAACTTGATGGCAAAGGTCTTCTCAAACTCCTTTACATGGTACTGCAGATATCGTTCAGTTGTGGTCACTTGAATTAGCTTGTTAGCATCAACTTGACCCAGTCTTTCGATATAAACTGGTCGTCCGTCTTTATCGACTCCGTGATATCCTTGTGGATAGTACTTAACCACTTCACCATATTCCTTGAAATCAAAATCATCCATGATTGTGTCAGCCCCGAAATCCTTCCTCCATTGAAGCATATCAACCCACATTTGCTTTGATTTCTCAATATCAAATTTCCTGGCTTTTAGAAACCTGTATCATCATCATCGTCATCAAATTTTCCTAAACATTTATTCATCTAAAGCCTTTTGATCTTTTGAAAGGAAAAAACCGAAAGATTGTCACCTTAGCATCATATGATTATCATCATGTTTAGCAGGCAGTAGTTCATCTAATATGAGCGCTTGGCGGAACGCATGGACGGCTTGTAACTCTTCGGCATCGAGACATCTTCTATGCTAACTATGGACATAACTCGACTATGTCTCCTCGACTTCTTTATAATAGAATGTCTAAACTTGCTCGAAGCATTAATTGCCTTCTTCGTGAGAGAACCGAGCTTCCTTTTCCTCTCGTCCTCAGAGTTCTCTACATCCGATTTCTCGAGTCCTGTAAACAAGACATTCAAAACCCCCCATAAGTCTGAGATTTTGCACAATCCAACCATCTATAACCAATGAATGTTAACCAAAATCCGGGTTCTTTCGAGTTCTGTTATTTCGTACGCATATTCGATTTTCGAGGACTCACCCATTTTAGAAGTGTCAGCCATGGTTACAGTTTTCTTCAATGTCGTTCAGCTCTGGATCAAACACAGCCCGTGCAAAAGATGTCTATGACCTGACCAGTTGGTTCTATACCTATATAACCACATCAAAACATCTGCAAAAAGGAAAAAATTGATATCAAAGACACAACATGATCTTTTGCAAGACATAAACATCAACACGATCATAAACAATGTCCATGGAGGATCAAAAAGATAAAAACTTTGAGCCATGGCAATGAATGGAAGTGCACAAAAGAAGAAGAACAAGAAGAGGAAGAAGAAAGATTCATACCATATGAAAGAAGGCTGAGAGCTAAACCAATAGAGAGAGGGAAATCAACGAATGATTCTCTTATCGAGAATGTGTTTATAAGAACACAAGTAATGGATTGAAATTTGACATATTTAGCTGTTTCTCGAGATAGATTCTTTGTTAAAACATCTTTACTAATCTTTACTACGTCTAAAAATAACACAAATTCTTGTTTTTTATTGAGTTTTTGCCCTATATGCATGGCACACCATTCAAGCATATTTAAGATTAAATCTTAAACTTAAATATTAAATATGTCGAATACATATCCAAATATTATGAACATATTTTTAGTATCCATATATATTCGTCTCATATGCATACCTTAAACGAAATTAAATATATTTATATCAAAGATATACTCAAATATTATAAACCTAAATCTCGATGAATACAAATAAAACATGTGTATAAATGTTAAGTAATTTCATTCATATCTCTTATATTCCATGTCTTAATAATAGTTTAGTTTACTCTCAAATTTGGTGCGGAACAAAGTCAAGATTTTTATTAAGAGTCGAGATGAATTATGATTTTTGTTTTGCGGTTATTTTTAGTTTCTCTTCTGACTGTTGTCTAAATAGGTTTGACTATGATCAAAGAGTTGTCTAAATTTTTGTAGATTCGAATTATATATGTGTGTGTATATATATATATATAGATTTCTGACTTCGGTCGTGTTTCTGATACAGGTTTTATCGAACACAAATTTGGAAGACTTCCCCATTGAGTTTATGTTTTGCTTTAGTTCAAATATGTCTGCTAACACCATGGTGAGCATTCCTAATGGAAACTGTAACGGCAATGCCGATGTCGATGTCGATGTCCTACCTGATCCACGATGAACTTACGAAGTCGATATGGCCACGACTAAAGATTGGGGTATCGGTAAGGATGGGAAGTTGCCTTGGAAAATACCTACTGATATAAAATTCTTCAATGATGTCACTCGGACTACTTTAGACCCTGGGAAAAGGAATGCAGTCATAATGGGTAGAAAAACATGGGAAAGTATTACCCCTGAATTTCGACCCCTTTCGGGTCGTCTCAATGTTGTTCTGACTCGTTCAGGAAGTTTTGATATTGCAACCGTTGAGAATGTTGTTATATGTGGAAGCCTGGCGTCCGCTTTGGAATTATTAGCTGCATCTCCTTATCGTCTTTCGATCGAAAAAGTCTTTGTAATAGGTGGTGGCCAAATATTGAGGTGCAGAGCATACATTTAAAATGTTTGCAAGATCTCTTAAAGTCATTCTTTTCCTCCCCCCTTGTCTCATATGCACTACCATTTGATGCAGGGAATCCCTCAATGCAGCCGGATGTGATGCTATTCACATTACAGAAATTGAGACAAATATCGATTGTGATACTTTTATGCCTGCCATTGATTTCTCTGAGCCAGTCGGATCGGATCTCTGAATAGAATTTGATTCTAAAATATTTGCATCACTAACAGGTCCTTCGAGAAAAGGGCATTCATATATGGAATGGTAATGCATCCAGGGAGTTTCTTGACAGGTATTATTGGACTCTTTTGCTATCAGTTTGTACTGTTTATCCTGTTGTTACTAACTTACTTTTGAATCACCAATATCAGTATTGGGTTGAATGGAAGGGAGGAGGGTGACTTGGGACCGGTGTATGGGTTCAGTGGAGACATTTTGGTGCTAGGTTGGTGGATTTCAACTTTCCATTTTTCCACCGGCTATGCATTTTTCTGCAACGGTGCTGGTTCAGTTGTTTTGTATCTGATCTTTTTCAGGTATACCGACATGCATGCTGACTACACTGGACAAGGATTTGATCAGTTGTCGGATGTTATTGACAAGATCAAGAATAATCCAAATGATAGAAGGATTATACTCTCAGCCTGGAATCCTTCGGATCTCAAACTGATGGCACTTCCAACTTGCCACATGTTTGCTCAGGTTAGTATTAAGCTGTGATTTTTCGTCTCACGCTTTCCTTTTGTACTTAGATTAAGTTTTCCGACATGAATGTTTGCAGTTCTATGTAGCAAATGGGGAGTTATCATGTCAATGTATCAGCGCTCATGTGACATGGGCTTGGGTTGCCATTTAGCATTGCATCTGATGCTCTCCTGACGTGCATGATCGCTCACGTTTGTGTATCCTTGAAATCGCATGCATCTGGTACGCATCCTAGCTAAGTTGCCATGCAGATGCTCCGCTTTTAGCCAAGTGGATACGTCTCATTGGAAATATGAAAATTCGAGTTTGTACCAATGTTTTGAGCAAAATAGTTTCACCCGACCTGCAGCATTTGATTTGCACAAGGATTTTATTCTGCGAGACTGACTGTTTGTTCCGTGCAATATATTCAGGGCCGGTCACCGGAAGGCTTACGGCAATGTAGCGGCTTACACCGATAAAGAAAGGTTTGCTACCAGTTCGATACAGTTTCGAGGATGATATGTAGCGAGAATCCTTTAGTTCCACATAGTTGGTGTTGGTTTCTAAGGTGATTTAGGATACTCTATTTTCTTGTTTTGCAAGTTAATGTTTATCATTTACTTTTTGGGGTTTCATGTTTACATGAATCATTCACTCTCTGAATTACCGTACACATTCTTGAAATAGATTTGGAAGAACAAGTTTTTTAAGTGAAGGTGCTTTCTTTGGTCAATTTTAGTCCCTATGCTTTTTAAAACTTGAAATTACAGTCCTAATCTTGATGTAGTCATTTTAAATTCTGCTATTAGTCATATTGTCCTTACCATTTGGGTTAGGACTTAAATTTCATGTATTTGAGAAGTATAGGGTCTAAAATTGTTCAAATCAGAGGTCTACTATTTAGGCATAGTACATGGATTAATTTGACATTTTTCTTTATATGGTAGGGCAGTGTAAGGACTGAATCTAAAAAATTTGAGTATGATGGAAGGATCAAAATCATAATTTATCCTTAAACTAAACAGATAAAATGAAATCGAAATTGGAATATTCAACCATTTGATTAGCTGGTTAACTTATAAGATATCCCCTACCCTTAGAAAAGACTAATTTAGTCCTTAAATGTTACAATGTTCTAACTGAATACGTAGACTAAAGTTTAAAACGTTCTGATTGAACCCTTAAACTAAAGTACCATTCAAATCAGGTGCAAATGGAACATTTTGTAGTTTAACACTAACTTAAAATTCAATCCATAGTTTAAGAACATCTAATGTAAATAATACGTAGTTTAACTTAAAATTCGATCCATAGTTTAAGAACATCTGATACAACTAAACCGTAGTTTAAGACTAATTAAATCAAGACTCGATATTCGAATTCATGAAAAATTCAGAGTTTATGGAAGGTGATCAAGCCTTGATCATTGAAAGTGCAATAGTGGTACATTGGCCTCTTTCCTTCTCCAACTCCCAAACGGTGCAAGTCTTCGAAGACGAAGTTCTGATTTCGGAACCGACGATGGTTAAGACCATATGACCTCCTGGAACCATCTCTTCGAATCGCGCGATTCGAGAAACAGCTTGAAGTCCCGCTCGAAAATGTTGAAGTAAGTTTTGTGCACGTTGTGGGGACTTGTCTTCGCCATGCAAATGTTCCCTTTGTTCAATGCAACTCCCGACTCGCTCACAAGACTTTCAGGAACCTGATTATTCATCACCATGTATATACCTTTGAACTTTTGTTAATTGTTCCGTCGTAATTTTGGAGACGAATCACATGTTGCAGACAAAAGTTTCCTGCAACATGTGTTTAGCGTCTTGTTAATTTGATATCCGATAGTAATTATGGTAAATGCTAACCTGATATCGCTAATGAAGATGTACGAAGAGTGAACGAAATGAAGAAAGTTGTTCGGAAAGAGCCTCCCGTAGAAAGTTCCCGGCATCGCAGCGATAAAACACGGTCCGAAATTGCTTCCTTTCTCTTCCATCAACCTCGTGGTGAAGCTCGGCAATGACCTGAAAACGGCATTGAAATCATTACCAGGTAGATCATTAAGGAAAACTTGAAACACGGGTGCCTTGTGATTCAAGCAACAGCATGTCTCGTCGACAACGTCTAGGATTTCTTGAACAAGCAAAAGGGTGTTCGGTCCCGAAGAACACCCCAAGTCTGCAACCTTCAAGCATTTAGGGAAGTTATTGTTGCCGAATAACATCTTGATGCTGTCTTCCAGCATCGGTTTTGCCTTGTACATTCCCTGTTTCTGTAACAATTAATGGTAAAAAACACAGCAAAAATCTCATGAAAACTAAACAATGTCTGAAATTGGACAATCAAGAGAAGTAAAAGAGGAACGGACTTGAATCGCTGAGTTGTTGGCATAACTGGTTTTGCCATCTCCTCCATTCATGTGAAGAAATTGTTCAATCTCCATGATCGAAAGGGTGTCCATTAAAGCTGAAGAAACGACCTATTTATCATCTGTTCTTTCACTCGATCTCAAGTTCCTTAAAGCTCAAGTAATCATGTGAATTTGTGAGCAAAAACAAGGTAAAACAATTCTTAATGGCGGGAAAAGTCATTGGAAATATATATATAATGCAAATTGCGTACGCTATGATTGGATTACATTTCTCGTAGCTCTCAGCAGCTGCGGATCTTTGAAACATAGTTTGGAGGTTTTATTTTAAAATTTTAAAAATTGTGTCTAAATTAAAATTTTCTTATGATGTATCTAACTGAAAATTTCAAAAAAATTAAGACTTCATAACGATTTTTGAAATTTTGATCGGAAACTTCATTGAAAATATTCAAAAAAAAAAATGAAATTTAATGAAAACTTCTAAAACTTTTGAGGGATCAAATTTTGATAACGATTTTTAAAATTTTTCATTAAAATTTTGATGATAGTTTTAGCTGGACGTTAACCTGTTGACTGAAATATGATAGTCGTTTGAGATTTTGAGATCAGATTTTATCATATCACAGTCATCGTGTTAACATCCGTTTCAAACTGCCGTCAATTTTTAACAGAAAATGACGAGTTTGAAACATATGAATAGTTGAGTGACATTTTATAACTTTTAATAGTTGGGGGACTCAACAAAGCAATACCCTATAGTTAAGGGACAATTTTGTAACTTTTAGAAGCCGAATGATTCAATAAAGCAATGCCCTATTCGTAAGAGACCATTTTGTAACTTTTAATGGTTGAAGAAATCAATAAAGAAACACCCTATAGACATAACTTTTTATTTATTCATCTTTCGCTCTGGTAAGTTTGATAATATTACCAGAGCGATTATACAATACATGTAATAACTTGATTTATTCGATTACCTCCGACAATTATATAGGACATACGATTAGTAAACTAGCACAAAGATCTCATAATGACCCTAACATACTTATGATCATAAGTATATAAGAGAATTTTCGTGAGAGAGCACTTCATTAGGACTCTCCTCTTTCTCTCATTCCTCCTTTTCTTTTATCTCAATTTTGTATCATCTCTATTAAATTTTATTATCACCATCTTCGATCACGATATCGAAAACTATCGATCAAATCAAAAGGAATAAACCATCATCGACCGCCTCAACCACCCTCCTCCAATATTATACATCGACTTATCATAAAAAAGAGTTTACTTACGTTAAACAGAAGAAATAAAAAGGTTGGATTTTTCTTTTATTATTATTTTTATTATTATACAATACAAAGTTAAACATCATTCGTTTACGAACGACCGACGTATATTGAAATCCTATCCCATTTCATTAAACTTCAATATATGTTGTCCTTCTTTGTCAATGACATAACTATATTTCGTACTGACATTTATGGGATTCCATGTAGTCAAAGACAACCCCCTCAAACCTACGAAACAACTCATCCATGATGTCTTCCCCAAAATTACTGGACAAAATAGGTTCACCAACCGCTCTAATGTTTTTAGCAATAATTGCAGTCCTTGCTGACTCATCAAGCACCTGGTTTACGTCACCTTTCTTGATGCAATCGTCCCAGTCCATTTTGAACACCTCCATTTTCTGCAGCTCGAAAGATCCTTGTGCTTCTATCACGCTTTTAATTTCTTCTCTACTTGCTGCGTAATATGGCAGATCGAAAGATTCCAGTTTTTGTTCCTCGATCAACCCGTGTACCATCGAAATTAAACACATCATGTCATTGTCTTCAGGGTTTAGGATACTCATTTCATTCGGATCCGACGGTTTCGATCAGATTGGTTTTTTATTTTGAAATTTAAGTTTGGATTGAGTCGAGTTTTTTTAAGGGTAGATTGGATCAGATTGAATTCATGTTTGAGTAAAAAATGACATAATATTTTAATTATATCTTATATATTTAAAGATAATTATGATAATACTTTTTTATTTTATTTTCAATTAGATTCTTATTTTACCTAACAAAAATAAATTATATATACATAGGTCAAATCGGTTCGAACGTGGGCTTTAACCTAAAAAAGGAGGTTGCATTTTACGTCAGATGAGATTCTCCTAAAGCCAGATCAGATGTAGGTGGAAGAGTTCAATAGTCAGACCGGCCTAAGGTGTACTAAAAACCTGATCCAACCCATTATCATCATGGTTTCATACATTAGGTCAATGTCTTTAGGGTTTCATACCTCGGCGACCATGTCATGTAGTTTCAATCCAACAAATTCCTACATGGTAAGGGGATCACTGCTCTTGATGCTGCCCATGGTTGTTAGCAGCATGCGACCACCGGGGACAATCTCACCGGCTCGGCACCGGAGAAACTGTGCGAAATCTCTTTTGAATTGCTTAAAGTATGCTTCGAACACAGCAGGCGGGCTTGTTTTGGCCACACAAATGTTTCCCTTGTTCAGTGCTGCTCCTGTTTTAGTGACCAACTCCTTTGGAGCCTGAAATCAATAAGTGAATGACTGAATTCCTAGTTATATTATGCATGCATGCATGCATGTATGTATATTGTATGTATGTACCTTGGAGATCCACATGATGGCATAAGAAGAATAAAGAAGTGCAAGCTATTAGGTGGGAAAAGTCTGCCGAAGAAAGACCTTGAACGCCTGAAACGAAGCATTTGTTGCTAAATCTTTTTCCTTTGTCTCCCTCCAGTCTCTCATAAAAGCTAGGCAAGGAGAGGTTGAAAATGGCGTTGAAATCATTTCCAGGAAGATCGTTCAAAAATACTTGTACACATGGAGGGGATTGCTTCCGGCATGTTTCGTCGATGATGTCGATGATTTCGGACAACACTAGAAGTGTGTTCGGTCCGGCAGAGCAACATAAATCTGCAATCTTCAGGCAATCTGTAGAGGGTGGCATTGAAGTATAAAGCTCTATTATGCTTTGTCCGAGTAATGGTTTCACCTTTGATATCACATTCCTCTGGGGGGGGGGGAAGTGCATATATTAAAGAAAATCACCTAGAGAAAAGAAGCTCATATAAGAGTTGAGTCTATCGTCCTCAATTTCATGGTTCCAACTTAATGAAACCTTCGGAGATCTTAACAAAGTACGAGAGATAAAATCTCAGTCGAGAACAACACCTAATGTAGTAATGTTGGTGTCTCGACTCTATGAACCCTAGCAGCTCTCGATGTATAGCTTGCTAGGGTTTTCGACAGAATCACACATCAACATAAGAAGATGTTAACGATATTTTACAGGTTTCTCCTATCATAATAACAAAATTAAATACGAGATAATAATAAAGAGAGTGTATATATAACTTGAAGAGAGGAACTGTTTCCATAGCTGTATTTCCCACTCCTCCATTCATGTGAAGAACTTGATCAACCTTCATTGCTATACTTTCAAGGCTACTTGTGAAGACTTTGGTTGCCTCTGGTTAATGTATTCCCTTGTATTTATAGGCACAAGCTACTTATGTCACTCCACATGTAGTTTCTATTATACTATATCGTTTTAATTATTAAATTTCCAAAAATTAGAAGATCATCATTAAGTTTATTCATAGATTATAAATAGTTATCAAGACATTAAAATAATATAAAAGTTCAATAAATTTAATAATGGGGAACATTGAACAACTACTTCTCCAACAGCAGATGGAACTAGACATGCATGCCAATTGCCTAGATTCTAATTCTGATAAGAGCTGATGGGCACAAGTCTAATCCAAGTGGGTGGACAGGATTATCCAAAAACCCAGAAAAGTATATTAAACAAACAATTATGGGTTGTTAGAATTAGAATTGATGCCTAAACCCAACACTTGAGTGTGCTGTTTACTTTTTATGTTTTAACTTTTGTGCTAAGGAAGCCGATACATCGAATTTGTGTATAGAAATTTAAATTTGATTGACTTATCGAGCATTCCTAATAGTAAAAAAGAATATTATTTTTTAAAAAAATTCGAACAATTATAAATATTATTTTGTAATCTTTTTTTATCTCGGGTTAACATGTGGAACTACCGTAGTGTAAATGACTTTATAAGTTCATGTGAAACTTAGGTGTGCAAACATTGGGACCAAATGAATGGCACGATGTCTCTCTAGGATAGGATAAATATTTAAAGACGGTTTGGGGCATGTGGACCTCATATTGCGTTCTTGGCTGACGAGTGAGGTTGCAACTAGGGACGAAGTTTAGTGAGTGCCCAAAGGGGCCCCGATCCCTGTTAAAATTATTAGATATAATTTTGGTCTAATAGTATTTTGATTTATGTAAAAATAAATATTTAATTAAAAAATATAAGAATTTGTTAAATATTTAATCTAGTAATGATCGAACTAAAGAAAGATAACCTCGTGTTCTCAATTTGTTATCTTGTGAATTTTGAGTTTTTTTTAAATCTAGGGTGAATACAAGGTAATATATGTACAAAGACTCTTAACTATTTGACAATGAACACTCGTACCTCTACATGTGCAGTGTTTGAACTCAAGACCTCAAGGATAGCAACAAGCCTTTAATCACTAAGGTCGTTTGATTTATACTTAATTTTGAGTTTAAATACTTAATAGGTCTTTATATTTTTTTTAAATAGTTCAATATTTTGGCCGCTGTCAAGATTTAATTCTGGTTTCGTCTCTGATTGCAACCTAGCATTTATTATACCCCGCGAGATCTCTTTTCCAAGAGTATTTGTGGCTTTGAAATTATATTGTGGCTTGTAGACTAATCCGTTGCTTGTCTATTTAGACAGGTTGTTTTAAGATTAACTAATGAATCGAGAGAATGACTCTTGTCAATTATGTTTTGGCTTTATGATGGGTTAATTTGAGGCACGAATCATTGTGGGAAAGACTGATTTATCTGGAAATTATCTCATTCAAGTGTCACACGACATAACGACTAAATCAGGATATTATTACCTATAGATTTTAGACTCGAACATGTCATTTGTAAAGATGTTTGGACTTTGATTACTAAGTAAGATTATTACACAGTGAACCCGAATTTTAGAATCAATTAAAATCACTGGAGAATAAGAACTCAAATTGATTAGAATTTGTGAATAGGAAAATCGGCATCTGAGAGGATACAATTTTCCAAATAACAAAATTCGGAATACATTCGGAAACCGTGATGACATATCAGCATATGCTCATCTTTTTACATGCATCAAATCCAACTTTCAGCACCACAATATCTGCAAAATCAAGAATTATCTTTTTCACGTAAGGATTCCAATATTAATATACCGAATAATAATCTTTCGAAACTCGTAATTCAATCGAATATCATATCATGTGATTAATTAAACCATGTACATGATAGGAGTATTATGAACATACAAATCATACACTATGGTAAAAAGGGAGCACCAATTCACTCTAAATCTCTCAAAATCACAGAGTATTCTTCTTCCCTTAGTAGCTTCTTTTGCCTGGCAATGAAAGCCTCCACCGTGTTCCGGAACTGCTCGTTACTCATTCCATCCTCCGGACACGAACTCTTCACCGGTTCCTCTTCGGGATCACTTTGTTTGACGTATTTTTCCGACCCCAATCTCCGAAGTTGGTTGCAATGTTGTTTGTGACTTTTTCTTCTCAAATTCTCCGATTTCGTTCTTCGGATATTCTTCGTTTCCTTCGGACTGTTTACCTCGAGACTAACTATTCTCTTTTCTTCGACGGATGATAAACTTTTCATCTCGGTTTCGTACCGATGAACCGCGTTGCTTTTCTCCCTCTTCTCGATGAACTCCTCGTAATATCGGTTCTCGAAGGCGAAAACTGCCCGGCCTTTGCGAAGAGAGTGATGACGATAGCATTACCGACGACGAACACGAATCGAGGGCTGACTAAAAGAACCGATAACCCGCGGAAATACTCGCCGAAGGCAACCGGAAGATGAGTTGTGAACCTGGAGATCAACACCAGAAGGATACAAACTTCAACGAACCTCAACAAGTTTGCTACCTTACACAACTGGTGTTGCTTCGACATGGCGTTTCGCTTCTGGAGTTTGATATCGAACGCATCCATTTACGAAACAGAGCAAGAAAACTCGAAGAAAATCGAAGGAAAAACCTGGGGCTTTTTTCTCACTGGAAACAGAATTGGAGGAGTGTCCCTTTAAGTAGAGAAATGGAGTGAGCTAACGTAACCATAAGAATTTCTGGAGAAGCAAGTGGAAGAGGACATATGAAAGTGTGGATTTTTCCCTGTTGTTGTTTATGGGTTAAATTCTACTCTCCTGTTTGTTCCTGTGTTCTTGAACGCTTGCTTCAATTATGTATTGTTTTGATATATAGAGAATTGAGGGGATGAGGGATATCAACTTTTTCAACAAAAATAAATAATTTCTTAAAAAAAGTACAATTTATATTCCTTACAAAATAAAAATTTAAAGTATTATAGTTTTTTAATGCTTATTAAACTATTAAATTTTCTAAATCAAAAGATAATATATGTTTAACCATGCTCGAATTTATGTCCTCTTGAATCGAAGGCTTTCTATTATACTTTTTAATTCTTGGAGGAGTGAAATTTTGAGATTCTTATTATTTTTAATAATATAGGTGATTACGAGGTAATATATGTTTATGATTTTTTTTAATAAATTAACAACGCACACTCTCTGTATATGAAGCTATTCGAACTCAAAATTTCTAAAGGGAATATTCTTTTTTCAATAATATCATTTTTTTAAAATGGTGGAAATGTCATTACCTCCAAATTCTTAGGTATTACGTAATTCCCGTCACTTTGGACAAAAATACCCTTGGACTAATGATTTTTTTTATAATGATCCTTCTCAATTCTTATTTTTTGTGTTTTACTCAAAAGTATAAACATAATAATAATATACAAATACCTTGATTTATTAAAATATTAATAAATTTGAGAATTTAAAATATTTTATATTTTTAATATTCAATATATTTACTATTTATAATTTTATGGGATGAAAAAAATAATATTATTGTAAAAGTGTAATTATTTAAAATAATATTGAAAAAAGAGATGTTATATATTGAAAAAAAAAACCTTTATCCACTCAATATCATAATATTTTTTCATATTATATTATATTTTGTATAAATAAATATGATACTTATGAATATTATTTTATAATATATATTTAATATACTAATTATATGAATTATATATTAAGTGTATTTTTTCCTCCAAAGTTAGATATTATAACGATTAAAATATTTTTATGAATTTTCATTCAAATATTTATAAATTAATATTAAAGTTTAACTTTTAAAAAACATATATCATAAGGATAATTTGGTAAAATATGCATCCAAATAGTCTCATATTCCTCCAACCAAACATTGTAATCTTACATTCATGCTAAACAAACCAAACAAGGTAATACAATATTCCCATAGTAATGTTATTCCCAAAGGTAATCTTAAATTCCGTAAATCAAACACCCTAAATGGAAGCGACCACCGAAAAGATAGATCAAGGCAAATGCGGGTGGTGTCGTTCGTTGCCACAACTTTTTTTTATTAATCCGGAATAAGTATAAGGTAATATCTGTTTACATTCGTTGTCATGACTTGATGGCTGTTGTAGGGGAAGTTTTATGATCGATGCGAGTAAGGAAGTTCGATATTTGGATTTGCTAAGAGTCGTGGAAATTGTTCAGTTTTATCAATTGAGCTTTAGGCGATACATGAGACACTAAAACATGCATGGAGGTTTGGTTTCCGTGAGGTGATTGTAGAATATGAAAATGCCTGAGGCATTTCACATGCTACCATCATCGATTATGGCTGCTCGAGGAATTGACATTGTCGATCGTATTAGAGCTCTTATTGAACAAGATTAGGAGGTCTGGCTTATGCTTGGCGGCTGACATGCTTACACGTATGACTCGTGGACGTCCTGTTGACGAAAATTTGTATCAAAATGTATTTAAACTATCGTCTTGTGTATCATAATAATTTATAAAATGATAGTTCATATATTTTATTTTATTGACAAAATATAAACACCAAATTAAATGTTTTAAAAATATATATATCACGTTGAATTAAGAGATGCGGATCACATCAGATATTTTAAAAATATAAATACTATATTAAATATTTTGTTAAAATATAAGTATCAAATGTGATATTGTTTTTAATATGATATTGAAATTAAATTTTATTAAAATTCTATTATCTTTTGCCATAAATTAATATAATCATTTGTTATGATTGTGAAAGGAGAAAAACCTAACAACCACGAAAGTAGTATTATTTTATTATAAAAATAGAAAACAAAAACAAAATTGGGAAATATTTATGAAAATATATATTTATAAAAAGTTTTAAAAGTTAGCCACGTGGAATTCAAGGACTATATCCCACCATCAAATAAGATTCCAATGTCAATTACTTCATCACTAAGCCATTGCCACGTAGCCTTCATTTTTATTTTCCATTTTTAACCTTTGACTATCTCAATTATAAAAGACTGAACCAGTAATTAGAAGTGGTCGAACAATTATTTTTTTATTTAACAATAACTAAAAAATAAAATAAAATATTAAATTAATTTAAATTTTTTAACTTTTAATAAATTTATAAATATTTACTCAATTTTAAATCATATGTTATCATCAGTTTTTGATTCAATGATATATCTGACAGATGTCTTACATCCATCTAAAAGGAGATAAAATTATTAAGAAATTTAAGATACAAGATTATAAAAAATATATATATATAAATTAGATTATTAATAAAAATATAAAATTATATATAAATTATATGAGAAACTAAAATTTTAAAAGGTACGATCATATATCGATACCCACTCGGTCCTCTCTAACAATAAAAGGTGGTAAACAATAAATTATTAGCATTTGCATTAATTAATTAAAAATAAAAAGGAATATAAATCCCACTTGTAAGGGAAGAAAGAAGGGAGTGCCACTGATCTTTGGGCTCCATTTGCTTCCTTTAATTTAGGGTTATCCACTTCATACCCTTTCCACATAAAATCCATGTTATTTTTTTAATAAAAAAATATACACTCTTCATAGTTTTCAGTATAAAAATTAATATTCGATCGATTGATTGATTAATTAGATTGAATACTATAAAGATTCATTATGACGATGACTTTTTCGATATAATTTATTTTATTCATAATATTAAAATTTAGACCTATGTTTTATTTAAAAGATCTAACACCTCGTCCTGCTAGGCAGATTCGTCCTAGATTTGAAGGCGTGTGTTATATTTTAAAATGAGATTTCTAAAATATTTATAATAAAATGAAATAACAAAATATTAAAATTCTTATAAAATATAAAAAATAAATTCCAAACATATGAAATTAAGATAATCTCATAAAATAACTCTATAATCGTGACATTTTATTTAAAAAAATGTCATCATTCAAACGCTCTTAGAAGTAAAATCAATATTTTTTAAAGTGCGAGGCCTTCAGATTTTAAGACCGCTAAATCGACTTCGTCCTACTAAATCAATTAATAATAATAAACTTTGAATTAGGGGTTTATCTAAATATAAACCTTTTTATTTAAGAACTTAATATTGCAACTTTTCTTACTCGTAAAGGATTAATAAAGAAGCATGAACACATGGATAAGGCAAAAAACCTCAAATTCAATTAAAGGTCTAATTTTGCCATCAATATATGTACTCTTTAAACTTTTAAAAAAGTACTTTTACTTTTATTCTGTGAATTTAATTTCTCTACTTTTATCTTATTTAAAATTCGAAGTTTAATTGATAAAAAATTTGAGTATTTTCTATTAAATTTGAATATATGGTTGGAATTTAAATTTTAAATCATCTATATGAATAGTTAAATATCACAATTCAAATATATTAAAAAAGTAATTAAAAGTGTTATTAATTGAATTTTAATTTTTAAATCAGACAATTTAGGGAGGCAAATATAAAATAGCAATAAAAGGGGAGGGGTCGAGGCTGATTATTTAGCCTTCGATTTCAAAGTTAAACATCAATAGTTATTTAGCCTAAATAGTTAAGGGGTTTGTTGTTGTTTTTTTAGGTATCGGGTTCAAACAATGCATATGTAAGCATATGAGCAGTCATTATTAATTGATTAAAAGTATCTTTGAACAAATATTATATTGTATTCACTCTCGATTTATAATAAAAAATTTATCAAATTTTGAAGATTAAAATGATAGAGGGATTAACTTTTTGTTGATAGTTTGAGGTAGTATATGTTCATAATCTTTCTTAACCATTGACCGCACACATCATGTAGTCACAGTTACTCGAACTTAGAATCTCAAGAAAAAACAACACTTTTTTTAATCATTAAGGTCGCTCAATAAATTTGAGGGATTAAATTTTAAAATTTTGAAGATTAGAGCAAGTGTGGGTATAATTTTAAATTTATATTCAAACTCATTGTGATTCCACTCATAATTATTTATTAAATAAATTTTAATTTTTTTTACATGAAATATTTCAAGAGATATTTCCTTTTCGGCCTGTTGAAATTCTTTCCCAACGGAGGCCCAAAACTGACACGGGAAAACTGAAACAAAGCGACGCCGTAGCCATATCTAGGGCAAGAGCGACAAACCCTCCATCCTTAAAGCTCTCATCACACTCAAAAACCCAAACCCTAACACTGCGCCTCCGTTGATTCCCCGTTTTCTTTCCACTTCGAGGCTTGAGCAGATCGGATGGTATGTTTCTCTGATCATCTTCGTCTTTCAATACAAACCCTAAAATTTTGTTTACTTTTCTTTTGCAGGCACCAAAGAAAGACAAGGCCCCTCCTCCTTCCTCTAAGCCTGCGAAGTCTGGAGGTGGCAAGCAGAAGAAGAAGGTCGGTTTCTTTAATTTTTATTCAATGGTGTTGGTTTAATTGCATTTTAGAGTTAGATAAGAAGTGGACTTTTATCTTCTTTCTTTTTTGTATGTTAACAGAAGTGGAGCAAGGGAAAGCAAAAGGAGAAGGTGAACAACATGGTCCTGTTTGACCAGGCTACTTATGATAAGCTTCTCTTGGAGGCTCCTAAATACAAGCTCATCACTCCCTCGATTTTGTCTGATCGTTTGAGGGTACTTTTCGTTTTCATTTTTGACCTCTTTTTTTATGTTTTATCATTTGTTTTGGTTATGTATGGTGCTGGTTTCCCTTTTGATTATATGTTGTTTTTTTTTTGCTTGATGTGTTGCGTTTGTGATTATATATGATTTTAGCTTGATTATCTCTGTATTTCTGTCAATTGTCTGGAGGTAGAGATCTATGGATGGATGATTTTGGGTATCTTTTCGAAACTGGATTATAGGGGTTCCTTTGCAGGGATTTGTCCTGGTTTTTGGTTATTCTCCTGTGAATGTGTATCATATTCATTTAAATTGAGCGTTCGTTCTTAGTGGGGAATGCAAGGCCTTAGTTCTAGAACATTTGCTCCCTTCCCCTTGCTAATTTGTGTTCGTTCTTAGTGGGGAATGCGAGCATTCCGGGAGTAAAATACTGAATTCATCAGTGCATTATGGGAGTGCTTCTTTAAGTCAAACTAGTTTTGCCTCGTTTTATCTACGTTCTCCTGTAGATGCATTTGTGAACATATCATTAAATGAAAACCAACATTCTGCTATCATGTCTAATATGATTTTGCATACGCCTTGCAGATTAATGGATCACTTGCAAGGAAGGCCATAAGGGAATTGATGGCAAAAGGGTTGATTCGGCTGGTGTCCGCTCATTCAAGCCAGCAGATTTACACTAGGGCAACGAACACCTAGATGTTTTGTTATGTTTTTGCTTATTTAGCTCTTTGTATTATTTCCATTTCCTTAGCTTGACTGCTATGAATTAGTTTCTGTTTACTAAAGAACACTCTCAAGTGGGATCTTTCTATAATGTGTGAGCAACTGTTTCTTTTTATTGCTATGGTTTAATCGATACTTTCTTCTTCAGATTTACTTTGCTTTGTTTTGGCCACTAGATTTCCTAAATTTATTCTCTAAATTAGATTTTGATATGTGGTTTTGCCTGAAAAAGAAGTTGCATTTCCATACAATTACTGCTTGTGGAGTGTAAGATAGATGTTGGATCTCTCAGAAAATGAGTTCCCAAAATGAATGACAGCTTATGAGCTTTCTCTTTTCTTTCTATCAGGTGATTAAAATCTCATATTTTTTATATTTAGAGGTATAAATGAATTGAACTTGAATGAATAAGTCTGTGTTCGTTTAAATTTTTAATGTCATTTTTGTATGTGTGTTTATTTTTGAAGGTGTTTATAAATATGTTCATTTAACATTATTAAGTATGTTTGTTTATCGATCTCGAACATGTTTATTTATTAAAAGAGTATCAAGTAAACAAGTTTATAAATATTTGTATAAATGAACTTTTAAATGTATCACTAATTAAGTTACTAAATGAGTTTGTTTATGAATATTAATCATTAAATGTATATTAGTATTTATTCATTTATTAAATAAATATAATATTTTTGTATTTTTTAAATAAATATAATACAAATAATTCGTAAATAATAATTTATCGAACATTTTGTGTATTTAGATTATTAATAATACTTTTGCTTTATCCATTTGATATGAATAAAATAAAATTTAAGTGTATTTGAACCTACGTCGACTTGGTCCTATGTTATTTTAAAGTACTTTAAATGCAAAATTATTAGGTTCCACGTGCTGGTTCAACCACACGTGGCCTTGTTTACACTCTACCATGTATCCACTAATCCACATGCATGAATACCGAACTAAGAGAAACAGGAGACGCAAGAAGAAGAGATGGGCATAAACTGAAACAACAAACGAATGGAAGATACGAGGAGAGCAGATTTGCAACAACTAGAAGATGTTATTGAAGGAAGCAGAAGAGACCACAAGGGCTGATCATGTCGGAAACAACTCCGGAAACGATTACGCCACCGCTCTTCAACTCTTTCTTGATCGTATCCCCATTAACAACTCAATCCCTGGCATTAGAAACGCACCTGGTAAATTCATTTCCGACAACATATATAGATAGTTCATAGACAATCATTGTTGAAATCCGACTTGCGTTTTGATTTTTTTTTTTGCAAGTTGTGGAATTGAGAACTGGGGATAGTGTTAAAGATTCAATTGAGTTGTTGTATACAAAAAATGCATTTGGTGCTCCCATTTTAGATGTTTCAGACAGGTTTCCCAACTGCTACATCGGTTTTCTGGATTTTGCTGCCATCGTTCTCTGGTCCCTTGAGGTCATCTGGTTCCTTGACTCACATTCTCATCAACTTGATTCTGTTTTTACTCCTCTCAGTGTATATATGTATGTATGTGTATATGTCCTTTCTGCAGAAATGTGTGCCAATTGTTGGCTATGGCGAGACTGGCAAAAGCAGCAGCCTCATGTCCTTGCTTGAAAAGAATCCCGAAATCGGCAACACCAAGGTAGGGGAGTTGGCGAAATGTTTCCTATGGAATCCGTTTTTCGCTATATACTTAGAGGATACCCTCTTTCATGTTCTGCTGCTGCTTTCAAAGCATCGAGTCCAAGTTGTGCCTGTCATCGACCGATCTCATCTTCAGGTCATAGGTTTTGTAACACAGGTATATTTGAAGGCATATTGAAAATTTTATTCATTGGCGAAAGACTTTTATCAGTAACTTTGTTATTACTTTATCATAGACTGCTGTTATCCAACTACTGCTTCGATTTGATGGACTCACTTGGTTCGACAGTATTGCAGAAAAGCAGCTAACAGACTTTCGGTAGGATAAAACCCAAGCATTTCTTCAGAATACATCATTTGAGTTTTCATTATCATACCCGTTTTGGGTTTTTCTCATTCGTATTCAGGTTTGAAAATGAGAGTGTAAGCTGTGTGTGTGGTGATGAGAGCGTTGCAGAGGTTCTTCATATCCTGTTCAAAAGTCGGATAGGCGTCATTGCCTTCATCGATAGACAAACCCAAAGGCTTATCGGCAGCGTCAGAAAAAACGACGTGTACCTTCTAATGGAGAACGATAAGATCTTCCACAATCGAAAGTGAGAAACGTCTTCCTCCGATGCTACACTGAATGCCGCCATTGACATGTCGTAAAACCTATAGACTTTTCCCTATTTACAGGATTGTGACCGTGGAGGAATTCATTCATACGGAGACTACCAACCCAGACCATGATCCTACCATGGACCGAGACATGGGAGCTCTTTTATCAGCAGGGATGCTTCAGCTACAAAACAAGTACCTTCCGAGAATGGACACGCCGGTCACTAACAAGAAAACCGACACCCTCAAGCAAGCGATGAAGAATGTGGCAGGAACTAAAAGCGATTTCAGTTTTCAGGTTGATGATTTGCAGCGTCCACAAGGTATCCTCACATCCAGAGACATTATCCTTCAGTTTGCACCACCCTCTATGAACTCGAACATCGATGGAGGGGCTTCTTTGAATTGGCTCTTGAACAGACTAGTTGTCAGATCCAAGGTGGAACCCTTGTTTGCAATCATTGATGCATTTACTTGATTCACGAGTTTACGGTTTGTTATCGCATTAGTAATCACATTGTTGCTAGAATTAGCCTTAACAAACATGTCCTCAACGTCACCATGTCCTCAACGTCGTGTTACCACTCTACGTGGCCACGATATTAGCTTAAGGTTTAGTAAAATGGTGGAAATTGAATCTTCACCCTGATCAGTGCTCCAGCATCAACCGCTTCGTTGCTCTCTTTGATTTTTCATAAATAATCATGTTACAAGTCGAGTGAAAATAAAATCAAACGATCAATCAATGTCACTGTTCCACATAATCAAATAGTACCAAATTAGTTGATTTATTACGTTACATCAATATTTATTACCCTTACCAACGATAATTTATGACAAATAATCGATTTATTATAAATTAATATATTAATGATTAAATTATTATCTTTAAAATATCACTAAAAACGGATCATTTATGTAGTTTACACATGTAACAATACAAGACAAACGCAACGTATACGCATCTACGAAAAGCTAAAAAAAAAGGGCAAATTCTAAATTCTATCCCGTTTCCTCGGCTCCGTTCTTTTCAACGGCCCTGTCACCGTCGGTAAAACTAAAAATCAACGCGGTAAGAATAAGGATAAAAAGGGGAAATATCTCCGAATAGATCTGCTCGTTTATCGGCTCTTTGCTTCATCTTAGTCATAAACCACCAAAAAGACATAATTTCTCAGAGTCCAAAGCTGAACAACGGAGAGTCATTTTGAGGTTACCCTTTTCTCATTTCAGCATTTTTATAGTTTAAAGCTTCTTCTTTTCTCAGTTTTATGTTGATTGTTCATAAAGATCTCAACTTGTTTTATTCAACGATTTTATGCTATGTAAATATAGGGCTTTTGTTGTTTTATGGATTTGGGTTTTTGAACCTTAGTTGTTTCCTAGGTTCTATTGTTTGGATGGTGAGAAAGTTGAAGTAAAGTTTTGGGATCTCATGTTTTATAGGAAACTTTGGGTTTCTGGTGATGTGTAATTGGTTTTTTGTTGCATTTTAGTTTACGGGTTATTTTAATATCAGGTTCTGGATTTTGATAATGAGATTTTTATACGAATTCCTGGTGAACAAACATAGCATTAGTCTTTTCCTCTATATTGGATTCATTGATTGAAAATTACTAGCTACTTTGCTTTGGCTTTTGTTGGTCTATGTTCATACATTGTGATGCTTATATCTGATGATTTACACAGCGGAACTTTTAACAGTTACTGTGATATTTTTGGGAACTTTAGTGGATCTTTTTCTCAAGTTGATTGGATCTTCTCTTATAGCATTTGAAGTTAATACCGAATGGAGGGAATCGGAGGAGATGCTGCACCGGCGACATCGCCGTTGCCTCAATGGCGTCACGATGCTTGGAGGATGTATCAGTATTATCTGGATAAGTCAACTCCTCATTCAACTTATAGGTGGATTGGAACCCTTGTTGTGGTTGCTATCTACTGTTTGCGGGTCTATTATGTTCAAGGGTTTTACGTCGTCTCGTATGGCCTAGGGATCTACCTGCTGAATTCGCTGATTGGGTTTTGTCACCGCTCGTTGATCCTGAACTCGAAGGCTCCGATGGACCTCTGTTGCCGACGAAAGATTCAGATGAATTCAAGCCGTTTATTCGTAGGCTACCTGAGTTTAAATTCTGGTAATTGGAAACTTTATCTTTCACTTCCACATGTAATGATGCGGTAATTGTTCCTTTGTGTGTTCTGTGCCTAAGGGATCAATGTACTCGAGCTTTGTTGATCTATTTAGGCCAACTCGAAAGCACTGTCTGATTTTCGAGATAGATGGAAACATACCCTTTATGATTACTGAAAAGAGAAGATATGTAGAAACATGTGCTTCCAGGTTCGGGTTCATCAGGTAGATGTTAATGTTAATGTCCTACTCGGGTGCTAGTTAAAGGTTTATTTAGATAAAGTAGTAAACTTCATGATCTTGGATGCTGGTTGATGAATTAGTGCTTTAAGTAGAATAGAATACTCAAGTTTCATGATTTTTTTCCAGGTACACGATGACAAAGGCTTTCTGCATAGCATTTCTCATGACTTTCTTTTCTGTATTCGATTCCCGTCTTTTGGCCTATATTGCTCTGTTATTGGGTCGTTCTCTTCGTTCTTACGATGAGGCGCCAGATTGGGCACATGATCAAATACAAGTATATCCCGTTCAACATCGGAAAGCAGGTCAGCTCGTGAACCGAAGAATTTATTTCTACTGTATTTGCAAATCTGTCGATGATCACCTTTTGCTTTTAATGGAAAATATGCAGAAGATACTGACATCCCAGAACTGAAACTTTATTGTTTATACACATTGCCAAGATTTGATCAAGTTTTTGAGATTATTGGCCAGTAATGTGTATACAACAAACTATGTTTCTCTCCTTTGCCCTTTATATTAGTAGCTAATTGTTA